CTCTGCTAAAGTGGACCCGCACCGTTTCAATTTCGGATTCGGAAAAGGACTGCGGCCTCCTACGCGCAGCTACCGGTCCTACGCGGTCCTCGCCTTTGCAATGCCCCAAAACCTCAAAATGCCCACCCTCCGACGACCACCAACGTTTAATTTGATTGACGGTGAACGTTGAAATGTCTCAGGGGGGGAAAACGCATCCCTGACGGGCTGCGAATTGCTCAACAAAATTTTGGGCGGGCCACCCCAGCTATGGCCACGGTGAAAAATATGAAAAATAGGTGTTCTGGGAGCGCTGGTACCGGGCGGAGTAGCATAGCGCTCCGTTACCGGCGTCGCTACGGGCCTAGCACGTAGCGCTGTTCGTCCGCCAAACCCGCCGCCATGACGGGAAGCGGAAGGTAGACTTGCAGTCTTGCACGCTCCACCACGAGGGTGGAGGCCTGGCCTCAGCGCACAGTCTACTCGAACAGTCCGTCCATCCCCGGTAGGGTAGGGGTTTGGGAGGAGACACTGAACAGGAGATAGGCCAGGAATGGAAGAGGAGCATAGGAACAAGACAGCCTACCCGTCCATGGCACTAGCTCGATTACCGAGGTAAGGTAAACAGCTGAGTTTCTGCTAACCTAAATGATAGGCGAGAGAGGTGAATCCGGATTCAGTGGTTAGAAGCCTTCAGCTAGGGAGGAAAAAGGATGAAGGGAGGTGTCCGCTTCGATGTTAGAATGACAAGTAGGTAACACATAGTTTTTGAGAAAGCGATGGTGAATTAGTAGGAGAAATTACCTTGGTAACAGACGCGATGGTAAATTCACCGTGCAGGGAATTCTCAGCAGGGATCTCTTTCACCGTGGTAACTGTAAAAGAGAATTGAGCATTTCCAGAGGGAGGGATGAGTAGAACAAGACGAGGTAGTATCAATCGGTTCTCTAGAGATCCCAGTTCCCCGAAGGTAATTCGAGTCACCTTAGCACAGGTAAAAATCTCGATCAAAGAGGGACGAAAGGAGTCGGTACAGTCCTAAAGCAGGTAGACAAGTGTCGATTATTATCTTGTCACCGGAGGAGGGAAGGAATTTACCACCGCGCAGGGAATTTTTCGCCACGGATTTCATTCACCGTAGTAACTGTAAAGAGAGAATCGAGCGTTTCCAAAAGAGGGACGAGTAAAGCAAGACGAGGTAGTATTAATCAGTGCTCTAGAGATCCCAGTTTTCCGAAGGTAATTCGAGTTACCTTAGTACAGGGAAAAAAACTCGATCAAAGAGGGACGAAAGGAGTCGGCACAGTCATAAAGCATGTAGACAAGTATCGATTATTATCTTTTCACCGGAGGAGGGAAGGAAAAAGCGCATTTGGTGGAGGTAGCTACCGCGGTTCAGAAAGTAGAAGAAAGGCCAAGAGCTCCGGGGGTCTCCCACCACGGGAAAGTGAAGTACCAAGAGGGAAGCACACCGAGTACCTACGTGCCAAGAATACGGAGGAGCACAAGTGCAGCGCTGCAACGAAAGTCCAGACATAACAGAATCCTTGTAACACAGGGTCGGGCGAAAGGAACGGAAGGGGAAGACAGGAAGCAAAACAGGTGCAGAAGAGAGGTTAAGGTAAGAGGATCAGCAGAAGGAGGGATAGTAAAGAAAACCTGGGTTGAGGAAGGGACCAGAAACTGGGAAGGCTATGGAGGTGAGGTTCACAGGGAGAAGGTCGGGAAGTGATAGAAGAAAACTCAGAAGGGCAAAAATCCTTGAGTCGAGTGCTAACACTGGGAGCCTGGAGAAAGGAAACGGGAGATACTATGTGAATCGAGGATCAGAGAGGCTAAAACAAGGAAAGGAAGATAATCAATCGGATACAAGAAGGGTGTGTAATCAAGGTTGCTCGTGTAGCAACATCATCAACACAGTGTACCAAGGTGGCAAAGTCCTGAGTACAACAAGGGACTCGGAGAAACAGCATGGATCGGGCCAGGCAACCAGTACACCAAGACCCAAGAGGTGAGGAGGTTCGAGGAGAAGAAACAAGAGTGCGAGAGTCAGTAGGGCGTTGTTATGATGAGGGAACGTGTCCAGATGACTTGGACATAGGGGAGGTGACCGAGAATGAAGAAGGGAGAAGATTCGTGGTAAACGAGGCAGTGGACGAAATCAAGGAGCAATGGCTCAAAGAGAGAACTGTCATTCTAGTGTTTCAAGGGGAAACGAGACAATTGTCCAAATCAGTGAAGGAAGATTTGGTGCGTGCGTACGAAGATGGCTGGTCAGCAGCTAGAATTTTTCAACCAGAGACAGACAGAGGGATAATAAAATTCGAAGGTCCGAACGTCGTGTCATATGTAGCGAAGTCCAAGGTGGTAGCAGACTGGATGCTGGGAAAAAGGGAGGCGAAGCTCAAGCTGGCAGGCAAAGAGTATGTAGCCAGTATGAAGCCATGACCGACAAAATAGGAACTCAAGATGCTTAGATTACAGGAAGCAGAAACAAATTTTTGGATCATAGCGTTGAGAGTCCCGCTGGATGCATACTATCACTTGAAGAGTGCGGTCAAGAGTATGTTCGGAGAGATTGTCCACATACATCCGCCCCAGTATGACCCAGCAAGGCCAAAGTTAATGAATGTAAATGTGGATATGCCTCCGGAATCGAGAGACAAAATCGATGATGAGCTGATAATCCAATCTCACAGGGGCGAGCGATGGAAAGTGGAGGTGGTTACCCCCTTCACCGACTGGTGCAGCA